GCGAGGTGCGAGGTGCGAGGTGCGGCGGCCCAGGTCCGGACTTAACTCCTGCCTGCCTGTGAGGTGGGACAGCCTTGTCTTCTCCGTTAGGTCTGGAGCGAGCGCGGCTGCACCAGGGCCGATCGCTACCTGGAGCGCCCTCTGGCGGTGATGGGCGTCAGGCCTGGCGTCTCCGCGCGACTCAGGGTCTTAGGAGTTAGCCCCAGGATTGGCTTGTCTGAAATGCGCTGGACAGCGCCTGCCAGGGCCCGTAGCTCTGAAAACGACTGCGCCAGGCTATTACCTCGCCTCTCCATGTTGGCACTGCTCAGTCTGACGCTAAGGAGGCGCGAGACAGTTGCTAGGATGGGCACGGTGGAGGTCCAGGGGAGCCAGGTGCCACCATGGGCATCCGCATCAGTGCAGACATTGCTGGGCCTGGAGTCAGACCTGTCATTCTTCTCGGAACTAGCCACTGCCCAGAGGAGTTGGGCTGGTCTTCCGTGGCTTCTTGATGTTCCTCAATTTCATCGCCATCACAGCTGAGCCACCTTCTGTCCTGGGCATTGGAGCAGGAGGGGTGAGGCTGTCCATGGAAGCTGGGGGTCTCCCAGAGGGGAGGGCGGGCTGTTTTTTACTGCGTAGAATGTGCCTGGGAGGAATCCCAGGAATTTTTTTTTTTGCTGGAATCATTATTCCTGGACCCGAAGTTCAGTGTGGATTCAGTGTGGTTTGGATGTGGGTGGGGTGGTGTTGAACCCCTAAAAATTGTGGAAACTTTCTGTGGCCTCAGCCTCCAAACACAATTCACAAGAAAAGTTTGGAGAGGGCAGTGGTGATATCCATAATGGGCGAATTTCCACCGGTGCCAGACAGGGCACGGGATTCAAGGGTGGTGTGACAAGTCACTCACCTCCCTGGCCTTCCCAGATAAGCACAGACCTGCTGAGATACTTCTGATTGAAACCAGCGGTACCCACAATTGTTGAGGAATACAAAGAACACTGCAGATTATTGGGTCATTGTGGATGCGTCTTGGATTTTGCCCGGGCACCTGGTTGGAGGCTGGAGGTAGGGACAGTAGTGCAGGGAGGCAGCCAGGGGGGAAGCTGACGGCTCAGCACTGAGGACTGGACAGCGTCCTCCGAACAGCCTGGCGCAGCCAAAGGAAGGCTGGATAGTCACTCACACCCAGGGCCGGCACAGCTCAGAGGCTGACTTGGGGCCTGGGACCTGTGCTCATGGGGTCTGGACTGGAGCTCCAGGAGAGCTACAGAAATATTTTAGATATCATGGAAACAACTCTTTGTAGTGCTTCAGATTATAAACCTTTTAATACATGGTCTCCTCTTTGCCTCACAACAGATAGGGAATATAGGTCTGGATATCTAATAGATGAGGGAGCTCAGAGAGGATAATCAATGTTTCCAAGTCACACAGCCAGGGAGGGGTTTGAGCTAAGACTAGAATGGCTGCCTTGGTTGTTAGCAGGTGCATTTCCACAGATTTTGAAAGTCATGGGGGACCCTTGTATTGGGATCCTGAGGGCTGATGAGCCAACAAAAGGGGGAAGCACTTAGGGTGAGGGCACCGCTCACATGGGGCCATGCTCAGGGCTTTGAGGAGGAGGGGGGGCTCCCAATTAAGTGTGAATTTGTCTATTCCTAAAGCCTGAGGTGGCATTCAAGGCTCATCAGAGCTCACCTATCTGGATGCAGTAGGACAGGATTCCCACCTTTGGGCCAGAAATCACTCTTCTCTTACCTGGTTAATCTGCCCCACCCTGGGCTGGAACTAGGGTGAGGTGAGTGAGAAACCAAGGGTGCAGAATTTAAGGAGGCACTCACTCTCAGGATCATGCAAGTGCAGGCTAGTGTCAGCATGACTCTAAAACTGAGTATCTTCCTTCTCACCTCCCCCTCCTTCCTTGACTCTAAGCCCTAAGCTCCCAGAGGCCAGAGACAACCTTTGATACTCCCTGGGTGTCCCAGCCCAGCATCTGCTCATAGCAGGACTCACAGTTAGATTCAATAAACGTTTGTCAGTGACCAAGCCTCATCTTTCTTTCCCGTGAGAAAAATGGCCTAGGCCAGTGGTCAGCAAACTGCGGCTCTTTGACCCCTTGAGTGTGGCTCTTCCTAAGCCTTAGGAGCACCCTAATTAAGTTAATAACAATGACCTACCTATATAGTTTAAGTTTAAAACATTTGGCTCTCAAAAGAAATTTCAATCGTTGTACTGTTGATATTTGGCTCTGTTGACTAATGAGTTTGCCGACCACTGGCTAGGCTGGAAAGGGCATGTGTGTGTCTCGTGATCTGACAGAGGTTTGACCAATAGCTGGACTTCTCGTTTACTAGAGATAAGCAAATGACATGTGCGGGGAGAACCCAAAGCCTGTGCAAGAGTCAGAAAGTCCACACCAGGAAAGGAAATGTAGGGCAACGGAAATGGAGATTGCCGATGACTTGTCCCAAGTCCCCCTGCCGCGTATGGACGGACAGGGCTACTGACAAGTTCTTCCACGATGTGACCCAATCAGGGAAAACCTGATGCAGTTACTGGATGCACATCGAGTGTATCGACTTTCTACTGATTGGGCCTGGAACAGTAAGCAGGATCAATCTGTTGCTTTTGTCTGCCAGTAAATGCTGCGCGCCAATTGGTCCCGGTTAAGGAGACGGAAGAAACAGCGTGCACGCGGCACCCGCGGCCAGAGCAGCGCGCGGCGGGGCCGGGAGACCATGGCGTCGCTCAGTGGTGGCACCGTCGTCTGTGTGATCTGCTTGGAGAAGCCCAAATACCGCTGCCCCGCCTGCCGCGTGCCCTAGTAAGCGCCGGACGTCCTGGGGGAGGCGGACGCGGGGGTCGGGCCGGGTGGGGGTGCGGCGGGGGGCCGGGCTGGGACGCGGGAGGGTGCGCAAGGCCTGGAGCTGAAATGCCCTGTCGGTTCTGTTACAGCTGCTCGGTGACCTGTTTCCGGAAGCACAGAGGTAAGGCCCCGCGCCCCCGCCTCAGCCCGGGCCTCCCTCCTCGTGTGGGGCGGCTCCCACGTCCCGCCCGGGTCTCGGGGCTGTGCACCCCTCAGGCCCGCTCCCTCCGGGCCTTGTCGCGCCCGACCCTGTCGGAGATCTTGGGGACACCTCTGCCTGTGAGTGCTTCTCCGGGTTTTGAACAGTCAGAACCTTTCTTCTGCTCTTTTCTTCCACGTGCAGCCCTTTTTTGGTGTCTTTTAAAAAGAGTGGGTCGTTGTTCGCCGGAAAAGGCAACCCAGCTATTTCATCTTTGTTTTCCTCATCATTCGGCCCAAGTTGCGCTGGCTAAGGTTAACGAGAACGTTCTTCTCAATAATGTCTCGTTAGAAACAGTGAGGTAGGTCTTTTTTACAATAAGGAGATATGTCCTTGGCTGTTAATGTTGTCAAGTGTACAGGTTAACTGTTCCTCCAGCGCCTCTTCTCAGCCCCCGGGGCCCTTTCCCACGACCTCATGATTGGTTGATTCATGTTAAAGTTACTTGTTTAGGTTCTTTAAAATTTATCTTTATCGTTGATAGTATTATAGATGCACCCCCCCCCCTTTTTTTCTCATTAGTTGTTTGCCTCTCCTTTCATCCCCTCTAGTCTTTGCTTTACAGCTATATATTTCATGCCTTTCTCTCCAACCCCGCCCCCTGCCTTTTTTCTAATATCTCTGCAGTATTTCAAAAGAAACCTTCGCCTGGCCGGCGTGGTTGAGTGTGGACCTATGAACCAGGAGGTCACGGTTGGATTCCGTGGTTCAGTTCCTGATCAGGGCACATGCCGGGGGTTGCTGGTTCCCCAGTAGGGGGGCCTGCAGGAGGCCAATGATCAGTGATTCTCTCTCATCACTGGTGTTTCTCTCTCTTCCTCTCTGAAACCAATAAAAATATATTTCAAAAAATAAACCTTCAACTAAAGATAGACAGGAAAGAAGATAACTGTTTTGCTGGAAATAGGGTTGGAGAGCTGGGTTGGGAGCACTTCCCCCTGACCTTGCATCCCCGCGAGGCCCCTCTAAGAACCCCATCAGGAGCTCTTATCTGTGTGGCCCTGCTGCTGCGGGGTGAGTTTTCTGAAATGCAAATTGGAGCAATTCACTCCCTCCTTGAAAAGGCCAGTTCCCTCCAGCACAGGCCAGTGGTTCTTTTTTTTTTTTTTTTTTTAATATATTTTATTGATTTTTTACAGAGAGGAAGGGAGAGAGATAGAGAGTTAGAAAC